GGACAACGTTTGCCTGTCCCCTCTAACTCACACCTCCTTCCTCTCTGGTGAATTGCCTTTTGAGCTTTCAGATCATCGAGTTAATGACAGGGGGCTGGTTCCTGCTGCTTCTCTTGATAGGTATGATCCCATGGGAATCTGCCGGGGCAGTGAATCACCGCCAGCAATGTGGCTTGTGTAAATCTGGATGTGAGTATGATGTTCTCTTCATGCAACCACAATTAAAGATATGATCGTTAGCAATCATTTATATATGCACTCAAGTAATAAAAATTATTTACCTAAAGGCTACTATGAGCCTATCTTCGAGGTGTTCAGGCTGAATTTGCATGATTTGGCCACTGCCTCCTTCTTCAGTTTGATTTCTGATGTTCCTTGCCCGCTCTTTACCCTGTGATCCAGACATACCCAACCCTCATAACTCCAGAATGTGGCATAGGGATTAAAGAAGTGAGCTCTGGAGCTAAACTGCTCTAACCCTTACAACTGTGTGACTCTAGACAAGTTAATTTAACCTCCCTGTGCCTCAGTTTCTTCATCTGAAACAGAGATTTTAGTGGCAAGGGCTTTTTTTTAATGAGGATTAAGTGAGCTAATGAATAAAAACCACTAGAATAGTGCCTGACATTTAGTAAATAATGATGAGTATTATCAGACTGTCCTCCCACTTTAGAGGCCTGACAAACTCTTGCTTATTCTTCTACACCCTGTTTCAGTGCCATATCCTATGTGAAGCCTGCCCAGACCTCCCCTGGGGAGAGTTATCACTCTTTCATTGGTTCAACACCTGTATTTTTTTTTTTTTTTTTTTGAGACAGAGTCTCACTCTGTTGCCTGGGCTAGAGTGAGTGCCGTGGCGTCAGCCTAGCTCACAGCAACCTCAAACTCCCGGGCTCAAGCGATCCTCCTGCCTCAGCCTCCCAAGTAGCTGGGACTACAGGCACTCACCACCATGCCTGGCTAATTTTTCTATTTTTAGTAGAAACAGGGGGCTCGCTCTTGCTCAGGCAGGTCTCAAACTCCTAAAGCGATCCGCCCGCCTTGGCCTCCCAGAGTGCTAGGATTACAGGCGTGAGCCACCGCACCCGGCCTCACACTTGAATTTCATATGTCCCTTATTACATGGAACTTCTATCATGTTCAGTTTTCTGAATCCAAAATAAGGCTTCAAGGCCTGACAGGATCTGAAAAGATAATAATCGCCATATCAGAGATTCTTGCTTTCTAAAGAAAAACTCATTAACACGTTTGAGTCTATAACTGGTGAACTTGAACCGAACTGGTGAAGGAATACTTTGGGGTGGAGTGCTTCCTGCGCCAGGCCTGCCTATTCCAGATTCGTCAACATCCTGCCTCCCAGCTCCCACCGAGAACTAGTTGCGCAGAGAACAACGCACAGTAGCAGCCTCACCTCTCACTCGGCCCAGCCCGAGCCAGCGCGCTGAACTTCTTTCAGTTCCCTAAAAGGCGCTGGGCCCTCCCCAAGCTGCTCTTTCTGACGGTCCCCAGCCTCCCTTCTCCCACCGCCAAGCCATCCTTTGCTCAACTTCAGCTTCCAGCTTAGACGTCGTCCCTGCGCTCCCAGCCCCCAAAGCCTTCTCTTATCTCCCAAAGTGGATTAAATTATTCTCCCAGGTAGCCACTCGGTCCCTCATACTTACCCTATCACAATACTTATCACATTTTGTTATAATTATTTGTCTAGCTTTTCTGCTAAATGGCAGGCCTTACAAGGCAGGCAGTATGTCTGTAAAGTTAGCCCCAGGCCAGTCCCTGACTGGCCTATAATTGATGTTTAGTAACTGTCCTTAAGAGAAAAGCGAACAAACAAATGAATAGAAGGAATGAATGTTCCATAGCAGGCACCTGCATTGAATTCCCCTGCCTTTTTATCTTCCCAAAAGATTCTGAGCACCGTGGGGCTTTAAAATCAAACAAACAGGTGGGGGGGCGGGCATGGTGGCTCACACCTGTAATCCCAGCGCTTTGGGAGGCTGAGGTGGGAGGACCGCTTGAGCCCAGGAGTTCCAGGCTGCCATGAACCGTGATCGCGCCTCTGGACTCTAGCCTGGGCGACAAAGTGAGACCACGTCTCCAAAAAAACAAATAAATAAAATAAAACATAAACAAACAACAAAAACAAACAAAAAGAGCTATCTCTCAGGGATAGAAAGAAAATCGACTAGGAGAACTGTACCTAAAACATTAACTTTTTAAATTAGAGACTCAGAATGTGAGAGTTTTCTCTCACATCCTTCAAAATACAGCCAATCCAATGTTTTGAAAGAAAGAAAGAAGCCGGAGTGTGGTGGCTCACACCTGTAATCCCTAGCACTTCGGGAGGCTAAGACAGCAGGATTGCTTAAGGCCAGGATTTGAGACCAACCTGAGCAATATCAAGACCTTGTCTCTCCAAAAAATAGAAAAGTTAGCCAGGCTTGGTGGCACATGCCTGTAGTCTCAGCTACTTGGGAGGCTCAGGCAGGAGGATTAAGACCAGGAGTTTGAGGTTGCAGTGAGCTATGATGACCCCACTGCACTCTGGCCTGGGTGACAGAGCAAGACCCTGTCTCAGAAAAAAAAAAAAAAAAAGGAAAGAAGAGAAAAGACAAAAGCATAAACAAAATATTCTAATGCTGAAATGTTAAGTATAGTTTTCTAGGTCTGTGCTGTCCAACACAAAAGCCAGTAGCACTGGCTCCTGAGCACTCAAAACGGGGCTAGTCCGAACAGAGATGTGCTGCAGGTAATAAATACATCCTGGGTATTGAAGACTCTGCGTGAAAAAAGGATAGAAACTACCATCATATGGATTACAAGTAGAAATGATAATACTTTTGATGTATTGATGTAAAGTATATTATTAAAATTAATTTCACCTATTTCTCTTTATGTTTTTAAATGTGGCTACTAGATAATCTAAAATTGTGTGTGTGGCTCACATCATATTTCTATACAAAGTGTGTTGTGATGAGCAGGATTTTCCTGAGAAATGGGTGGGCTGGGCAGGTAGGGGTTAATTTGCAAGCTGGGTCAGGCGGCTACCTCCTTTTTGTTCAGATCTGCTTTTTCAGTCCATTCCCGGTCTAATACATGCCCCTGAGCCTGGCATTTTCTCAACTACTTTTGGTGTAACCTCTGGGGCTGGGGCATTGGCGTGGCAACAACCACTGCCCCACCAACACCCTCAAGTCCTGGACTCTGGGTCCTATTTGCCCAGGTTGCTCACTGCAGCTCTCAGTTTTTGTGCCTCTGGCTCTGGCCTGTGACCTGATCGAGACACCGCACAGTTCCCTTTGCCCTAAGGTTTGGTTTTGGTTTTGTCTGCATTTATTGCATATGGGAGTCTGGCAAAAATAAATGAGGCCTGTTAGGTAGATATTTTGAAGTCACCCATCAGAAAATATTGATAGATGAGAAATACATCACAAAATCCTTATAATTGCAATAAACAACTTGCCAATGTGTGCAAACTGTATTCCCCTTGATTATCTTGAATTAAGGGAGGATTATTTCTTCCATGAAGCAACCATTTATTTAGGTAGAGGGCTGGGTGAATCAGCTGGCGACACAATTGTCCTGAATCCTTAGCTGTAACTTTCTTGACCATTCCTAATTCATTCTCCAACTACAGAAAGGTAGTCAGTTCTTTGGTTTGTATTTTCTTCTATGTAAAGTTAGGCTTTCTCAATCATCCCAACTTTATTTGTCTATTTTTTTTTTTGAGACAGAGTCTTGCTCTGGCTAGAGCGCAGTGGCATCATTGCAGCTCACTGCAACCTCAAACTCCTCTGCTTAAGCAATCCTCCTGCCTCAGCCTCCCACAAGTAGCTGGGACTACAGGTGCAAGCCACGGGGACACCTAGCTAATTTTTCTATTTTTAGTAAAGACGGGTCTTGCTCTTGCTCAGGCTGGTCTCAAACTCCCGGCCTCAAGTGATCCTCCCCCCTTAGCCTCCCAAAGTGCTAAGATTACAGGCGTGAGCCAGTGAACCTGGCCTCAATCATGCCAACTTTAAAAGTCCATATGCTTTTTATAAAAATTAAAAAAAAAAGTCCATATGCTTATATATGTGAGGAGAATAATTCTAAATAATAAACACAAATCATAAGTATGTGTGTCTCTTCCAACTCTTTCCTCAGTGCCAACAGAATCCCTTCTTCCCTGTAGTGCCAACTTGTCTGCTTGCCTTTGGTATAGGACAGGCAAACACTGGTGCTTTCAAGCCATATGACCCAGGTTCAAATCTTGGCTTTGTCATTTACTAGCAGTGTGATCTTGGGCAAGCGACTTAGCTTTTTGAGCCTCAGTTTCCTCCTCTGTAAATTGGGAATAACATTGTCCTATGGAAAACACCTGGCCCAGAGAAGCTGTTTACTACCATATTATGCTGGTATCATACCCCAACTGACTTTTGCAAGCCCTATTCCTTCCTCTCCTGCCAGCATCTACAACTGCTGCCTTTGCCTTAGAAAAGAAAAAAAGAAACAAAAAACAAACAAAAATAACACCTCATCTGACTCTGTTACTCTCTCTGGTTAATATCTTACTTTCCTCTTTCATTTCAGAGTTAATATTCTTGGATTGCAAGAATAATCCAAGCAGTTTACTGCCTCCCTGTTCTTTCTCTTCTTCCTTCTCTGCCATGTGGCATCAGTTCTGACACTCTAGGGACCCTCAAGATACCATTTCAGTAAAGACTAACCAGTTGGCAAATCCAGCAATCCCCTATCCGTCTCCATTCTTCCTGACTTCACCACCGTGACATTCTGCACTCACCACTCTCCCCATCCCCCACTTTTTTTAATCCTTTTTTCCTCCTGTAAGCTCCTATGACCACCAGAAGAAGTTACCCAACCAGGCAGATTCAGTTCACTGGCCCCGAATAATTCCTGGCACTCTCATCTTCCTCTCTCCCCTCTGAAATGGTGTGTCACAACTTTTCCTCTCTGCTCACCCTTCCCCCATTGGGGACATTCCTTCTCACTTGCCTGTGGTTACTTCAGAGTCAGCACCTGCAGCCACGCTCGACTCCGCCCCTGCGGCTCCCACGCCGAAGTGTCTTCCGGGCCTTCCACCTTTGCTCCAGATCTCTCCCCTCCTGCCGCCTGCCCTGCGCGTCTTTAGGGGAGAGCACAGATCGTCATGATGCCTCTTCAGCCTTCCTGCTCCACTGCATCCCCCTTGTCAGACTTAAAAATTCTTGCCCTCACTCCCCCACTAGTCGCTGCTTTCTCCCTCCTCCCTCATTTCAGCCATCAAGCCCCCTGCTCTCTTCTGCTCCTTCCTCTTGCATTCCTAAGGCTCTGCTCCGGGCGCCACTGCATGCCCTGAGTTCTAAGTGCTTTACTGGGACGTAGGATTCATTTAACCCTCACAGCAGCCCATGGGGATGAAGAGAGTATGCTTCCTATAAAATGCCTATGGAGTACAGATGGATTCAGTAGTTAACCAAGGTCACCTGGCAGGGATTTGAAGCCAAAGAGCTGCGCCCAGATTCCGCGCCCTCGACCGCTATGCCACGTGGCACCCCGTGCCTCCTGTGGACCGTGTCCGTTCCCAGCGCCATACGTGCTAGGGGCTCGGTAAATGTGTCTGAACGAGTAAACACACGCTGCAGGGTCTCATCCTCTCGCTGGCAGAGTAACTCACTGATCCAAGGCTCCTGAAAAGTGCATGGGTTTAGGGTCAAGTCTATTTTTCTGAAAGAGACCACAGTTTCCATGAGTTTTTTCATACACGTCTTTGTCCAAAAAAAGTTAACGACTTCTTGATTCATTCATTTTTCTGTCTCCAGTTTCGTTTCCCCCCTCCTCCCCCTTACATCCTGTACAATGCCATTAGATGACTCGTTTGTCAAAGCCTTGTTTTTAATTCTGTCACTGGTAAAAACATAAGAATAATTAACTTCCCTCTGCCCAGAAAGTCTCGAATGCCTCCCCCACTCCAAGATAAAAATCAAACGCTTCAGCCCAACAGCCAAGACTTTCGGTAATCAAGCCCCAGCAGACTTTACCAGGACTATCTCCTCTTTTCTCCAGCTTGAATCCTGCACCTCAGGCAAGCTAAAGTCCTCTTGTAATTTCAAAACTTCTGCTCTAACTCACTTTTCAGCATTCATTCAGCAGTAATGTATTATGCTCCTGATCTGAGCCAGGTACTGCCCCAGGGCTGGGAATACAAAGGTGAATACAGCACAGCCCTTACCCTTGAGAAGCTATGGCATCTCCGAGCTCCCACAGCCTGATGTTGCAGGCCCCTGATGCTACAGACCCTTCGCTTTCCAGGTACACTGGGTCCTTGGAAGGTCCTGCCCGCCCTCTGCCCACCTCTCCGAGTCCTTACCCTGCCAGTCACGGCTTCCCCAGTAACCCTGAGAGATCTGAGAGGCACCCGTTGCCAGTCCTTCAACTCTGCTTGCCGCACGTCCCTCGGTTACCCCGAGGCAACATGTCATGCCAGAGTGCCCCACTCCTCCAGGCCTGCGTGAATATCCTTAAACATTTAGGGCGCATCTGAGTGCCAGGCTCACACCACCCCTGCTTCCTCGCACTCAGCAGCCTTTAACCAGGCCCCACTGCGCGCCAGATCTAAGTGCAGAGGACGCGGTCCCCGTCCCGAGGCGCTGGCCGCCGGGGCAAGACAGCCGCGTAGGCAGATCCTGTCCCTCTAGCAGGTGGCCTCGGTCCCTACTGAAGGCCCCTGTCCGGAGGCGCGTCAGAGGACAAGAGAAACTATCAATCTAATTTGAAAGAGAGATGTGAAAACAAAAATCCAAGAATTTGGAATGACAAACTGTTTGTGGCAGTTATTCCTGGCTGAGGATGGGATGGAGCCGATGGTAAAGTCCACTAAGTTAAACATGCCAGTGCTCTTCACGTGTTTCTTTTATAACATGCGTGAGTTACTTTTGTAACCAGGAGAAAAAATCATATCACGTAGAGATTATGATTAATTACATTCTAAACACCTGGGTTCCAAGGAAAAACCCCATAACTATCAAAAACTTAGAAAAATTAATGGAGAAAGGATAATCGACCAATAGAAAAATGGGGAAAAGCTACAAACAGATATATCCCAGAAGAGTAAACATTTATGGTCAACAAATATATGAAGACACGCTAACTTCACTAATCATCAGAGAAGTACAGTACACAATGAGATTCCATTTGATGCCCTTTTGAGTGGCAAAAATTAAGAAATCTGATGATACCAGGTGTTGGAGAGGATGTGGGTCAACAGGATCTTGTGTACAATGTTGTTGGAACTGTAAATTGGTAAAAACAACAACAGCCACCACCACTTTGGTAAACAGTTTGGAATTATCTTGTAAAGTTGAACATTCACATAACCCTTGACCCAGCAATGCTACTTCTATATAAATACAAAAGAGAAATTCTTGCACTTGGGCACCAGTGGGTTTGTGTGAATATTCTTAGCAGCACTTTTTGCAATAACAGAAACCTGCAACAACCCAAATGTTCATTATCAGGAAGTTGGTTGTATAAGTTTGGCTTCTCCAAAAGCAGAGACTGAGACAAGAACTTGGGTGTGGGCTGTGGATTTGGGAAGTGATGATGTATGTGGAGGACACCAGGTTTGGAGGAGAGGAAAGAGGGAGGCTGGGTAGGAGGAGAAGCCATTGGGGGTGTGATTCTACAGAGATCTCTAATCTTGAGAGATCCACCTGCCTCGGCCTCCCAGAGTGCTAGGATTACAGGCGTGAGCCACCACGCCCAGCCTGAACTTTTTTTAAAAGTAAGAAAATTTGGGCCGGGCGTGGTGGCTCACGCCTGTAACCCTAGCACTCCGGGAGGCTGAGGCGGGCAGATTGTTTGAGCTCAGGAGTTCGAGACCACCCTGAGCAAAAGCGAGACCCCGTCTCTACTAAAAATAGAAAGAAATTAATCAGACAACCAAAAATATATAGAAAAAATTAGCCGGGCATGGTGGCAGGTTCCTGTAGTCCCAGCTACTCAGGAGGCTGAGGCAGGAGGATCGCTTGAGCCCAGGAGTTTGAGGTTGCTGTGAGCTAGGCTGACACCATGGCACTCTAGCCCGGGCAACACAGTGAGACTCTGTCTCGAAAAATAAAAATAAAAAAATCTATTGAAATCTCAGTGATTTTTAAAATCAATTTTTGTTGTATTCAGATAAAAGCAGGAAGGCTGGGTGGTGTTTCATGCCTGTAATCCCAGCACTTTAGGAGACCAAGGTGGGAGGATGACTTGAGGCCAGGGGTTCAAGACCAGCTTGAGCAATACAGAAACCCTGAGACCCCATCTGTACAAAAAATTGAAAAAAAAATTAGTCCTGGGTGGCAGCGTACATCTGTAGTTCCAGCTAAGTAGAGGGTTGCCAAATTTGGGAGGGAGCAGAGGGTGTGGGAGGGCATTCCAAGTGGAAAGGGCAGCCAGGGCAAAGGGACAGAAATGACAGTGTGGCATTGTCATCAAACTGCAGACAATTACTATTGGTAAAAAAGAGAATGAGAGCGGTAGAGGCCAACAATGGATCCAGAAGATAAGAAAGGGACCATGACAAGCAGGTTAGACGTTATTCCCTATTACAAGCAACCAAAAGCATTGGTGGGTTTTCACATAACTCATTTCAGGAGTCTCACAGTAGAATAGGACAGAACTGGTTGGAGGATGCTGAAGGCAGGAAGATCAGTTAGCATATCATAATCATAGTCCAGGTGAGAGATACTGAGGGCCTAATTTACTCAGGAGCTGTGGTGTGTGTGGCCATGTGCTGCCTAAATGAAGAGATTTTTCAAAAGGTAGGATGGGCACAATTTTATTTCATTGCTTTCCATAGCACTCATAACCACCTGACATATTTACTTATCTATTGTCTATCTCCCCTCACCAGGATGTAAACTCCATGACAGCAAGGAGGTTAATTTTGTTCCCTTTAAGTCCCTGGGGCCTAACAGTTCTGGCACATGAGAGGTACCAAGTCATTATTTGTTCAATGCATGAAGTTTAGCTAGGAAGGAGAAATATAGGCTAATAGCCAATAGGGGAAGAATTTGTAATGCTCCAGTCCAATTTAATTCATACATATCTCCTATTTATCTCTTCCCGGCCGGGCATGGTGGCTCATCCCTGTAATCCCAGCACTTTGGGAGGCCGAGGCCGAGGCCGGAGGATCTCTTGAGGCCAGGAGTTTGAGACCAGGCTGAGCAACATAGCTAGACATACCCCCAGCCCCTCCCATCCCTCCCCCCATCTCTACAGAAAATAGAAAAATTAGCCAGGCATCACAGTGTGCACCCGCAGTCCCAGCTACTCAGGAGGCTGAGGCAGGAGGATCGCTTGAGCCCAGGAGTTCGAGGTTGCTGTGAGCTATAATGACATCACTGCACTCTAGCCCAGACAATAGAATAAGACCCTGTCTTATTTAAAAAAAAAAAAAAAAATCACTTCCCTAGCTCAGACTCCAGCTCAATGTTTAACCAAACGATAAAATGGTCCCAGTTCTGGCCCTCATCCACGGCTTGGCATAAGTTAATCTTTCCTGCCCCTGCCCCCTCTACCTGTCTTACCTGCTCTCTTGCTACCTCTGCTTTTTTTTTTTAATCTCTAGAAACCTTGGTTTTCCAGGTTCCCTTAAGGTCCTTTGCCCTCTGCTTAGACAGTTTTTACATTGTCAGATGATCACACACCTGCTAGATATTCTGCCTTTGCCCTTCCTGATCCACTCTCCACCTTTCTCCACTCTGTTCTTTACCTCCAGAGGCTGACCTTGAAGGACAGCACCACCTGGGCTCATTTGCCCTTAGGCTTCCTGTTGGGTTCAGCCAGTGGGAGGTACTGCGGGAGATCTGAGAGAAAGAAGAGAGGTAGGGCTGTGTTCCTCCGGGCTCCCTTCGGCAGTCGCTCTCCTACGCTACACAAGCACTGGTAGTTACTGCCTCTTCGCCCCTTCAGGCGGGTGGTTGATAATGGCTCCCCAGGTGGTTGATAATGGCTTCCCAGCAGATGCTACACCCCAGGTGCTTCACTGGCCCTTGTTGGTTTCCCTCAACCCTGCCCACATCTTTGTAGGTTGTCCCTTCAGTAACTCTCTTCAGTTACACATCTATTTCCTCCTGATCTTGGCTGATATAAAAGCAAAAATACACAATTGCATATTTTTAAGAAAATTAAGATATGATTCACAAAATTCATCCTTTTAAAGCATACGATTCAGTGGTTCTTAGTATACACCAGCAAATGTATCTTTTTTTCATTCAATATGTAATCAAATGTTTTTCATGTTACTCTCTTGGCTATGCCCTCAACGTTAGGTTATACAATGTTGCACACCACCAGTTACTTAATCATTCATTTGTTTCCAAATTTTCACTATCACAAATAATACCATAGTAAATATTGTGCATGTGGCCTATCTCTTTTGGGGAGGATTATTTTTCAAGGAGAAGTTTCTAGGAGTGGTACTGATGAGTCAAAAGAGAGTCACATCCCTATTAAGGCTCTACAGAGTACTGTCAAATTACTTTTTAAAAGGATTATACCAATGTACATGGCCACAGCTTTCTCTGTATGTACCAATTTCATCATCTCATTAGCACTGGGAAGTACACGAGGTAAGTATATTTTGCAAATGTAGTAGGTAGTCCTACCATTTGAACTTCTTTTTTAAAATTTTTAATTATTATGGGTACATAATAGCTTATCTTTCATTTGAACTTCTTTGATAGCTATACCAATCCTAAGCCATTTAAAGCTGTTTTTAACTAAATGAGACTGTAGGAACTGTGATTTTGAGAGGATGGGGTAGAGAGGAGGTAAAGAGATTTGTTTTCCAACATTCCGCCTTCTTCACCCAGCCCCTTCCCTTGTTTACGTATTAGTTTTCCCTCTTCAGTGAGCTATGCTTCTTCGGGGCTTACCATAGTGTCCTGAATATCAAGAAACATTTAAAAAAATGGGAGTCCACTTGCACAAGGCTTCTTGGGCGTGGCTCTGGGTTAAAAAAAAAAGAAGAAGAAAAAGAAATTAAAAGAGTAAAAAATGGATAAATGATGAAAGAAGAATGTCAGGATTTATGCACATGGAGTTGGTCAGAATAGTCTATAAGCATCAACTGCTGTCCTTCTAATGGACTCTTCCGTTCCCTCCAGATAAACACGTCACTCGTGCCCAGGGCCTGCAGAATACTCGGGACTAGGGAGTTACTTTGGGAATACCTACACACTCCTTCCTACCAGTTGAGTTAGGTACCTAACAAGAGTCTGTTATGTTTGGCCTTAAACCTTTTCATGGCAGCTGTATTCCAGAGTGTAATTAACTTAATTAAAATTACATTAACTATTGAAACATAAGCATGAAAAGAAAGAGCTGTTTCTATGACGTGTCAGTTGAATACTTTGGAAATATTACCTAAAGACCAGTTGAAATTGCTATTAAACCAAATGTGAGTGAGACAACTACAAAATGTTTCTTTAATAAGGAGCCTCTACTTATATTGCTTTGTAAGAAGTTTTAAGCCCTCAGTTAACTTTAAAGAAACAAATTGCTTGCTTGATACATTATTATACTGAAAAAAATTAGAAAGCATAGAAAATGCACCATAGATATGATCAATGCAAGAAAAACAGCTTGAGGGCTGGGCGTGGTCATTCAGGCTTGTCATTCTAGCACACTGGGAGGCTGAGGCAGGAGGATCGCTTGAGCCCAGGAGTTTGAGGTTGCTGTGAGCTAAGCTGATGCCTCAGCACTCTAGTCAGGGCAACAGAGCGGAAACTCTGACTTAAAAAAAAAAAAAATACAGTTTGAGACCAGATGTGGTGGCTAACACCTGTAATCCCAGCACTTTGGGAGATTGAGGATTGCTTGAGGCCAGGAGTTCAAGACCAGCCTGGACAATATAACGACCCCATCTCTACAAAAAAGAAAAATCAGCTGGGTGTGGTGGTGCACAACTGTAGTCCCAGCGATTCCCGATACCAAGGCTGGAGGATTGCTTGTGCCATGACTGAGCCACCACCGTACTCCAGCCTGGGCAACACAGACAGAGATCTTGTCTCTAAAAAAAAATAAAAAAATAAAAATAAAAAGGAAGGAAAGACAGATTCTTGAGAGCTTACAATTTAAGAACAATAACAAAAAAAGGTTTTGCCCTATACCTAAAGATTGGCAAGTGGGTGTTCCTTATAATTTTTACATTAAAATGAAATATTAGTGTATGCATTTACCTTTTTTTTTGTTATTCACTGCTTAAATATACTTTTCTGATTAAACAACCAACTACTGAGCCAGATTCAATTTGTTTGGGCAGCGGGGAGGTGGGGGCGGGTATAGGTCCTTATTCTTTTTTTTTTTTTTTTTTTTGAGACAGAGTCTCACTCTCTTGCCTGGGCTACAGTGCCGTGGCGTCAGCCTAGCTCTCAGCAACCTCAAATGCCTGGGCTCAAGCGATCCTCCTGCCTCAGCCTCCCAAGTAGCTGGCACTACAGGCACCTGCCACCATGCCCGGCTAATTTTTTCTATTTTTAGTTGTTTGGCTAATTTCTTTCTATTTTTAGTAGAGACGGAGTCTTGCTCTTGCTCAGGCTGGTCTCCAACTCCTGAGCTCAAGCGATCCTCCCGCCTCGGCCTCCCAGTGTGCTAGGATTACAGGCGTGAGCCACCTCATCAGCTGGTCCTTATTCTTTAATCCTTTTGTTTCCACAAAGGGCAGGTAGGGGAGAATTTGTCCTGATTTTTCCAGAAGGAGAGACTTACCTAATTGTTGAATTTGGACCTGCCTGCCCTAAGAGACAGAGTGCAATCTTCTCTAATCAGACGTGGTTAAAATTGTTAAGCTTTTGCAAGTAGGAGGTTTGGGGGATATAATTTTAATTCAGGAAGAGAATATTAAAAAGCTTATTGACCACTATCTAAGCCACATTTAAAAATATATTATTTATTTTATTTTTAATTTTTTTAGAGACAGGGTCTGCTATGTTGCCCAGGCTAGAGTGCAGTGGCTATTCATGGGTGCAATCATAGCGAACTGCAGCGACCTTCTAGCTTTAAGGGCTCCTTCCCACCTCAGCCTTCCAAGTAGCTAGGGCTATAGGCACCACCACACCCAGCTAAGCCACATTCTTCAGTTCAGCTTTATTGGTAAAAAAGTCAATATTTTCATTTTTCCATTGGTTCCAAACTTATCAGGAAGGAATGATACTGCCCCGATAATACTCCAACAGTGTTGGATAAGATGACTTCTATGTATTGTCACAATTAAGATACATTATTTTTCCTTTCATCTTAGTCCATGATTCCACTCATTTAAATAATAAGTTGTCTCTGGTTTGCAGGCAGTAGTCTGCCTTGCTTGAAGCTCAATCTGTATCTCAAGCTGGACAAAGAAGAAAATATTTATAGCCCCTGAGAAACATTGATATTAGGAAATATATACTGAGAAGGGAAGAGGAATCCAAACATGGCTCCTGCCAACCTTTCCATCCCCTCCCACAGCATCCTGGGAGAGTCTTGTTTGTCCTGTTGATTTCTGGGACACATAAACGTGGCAAGCATAAGGTCACAGGCTATATGGCTATTCATAGTGAGAACTGCAAACATAGCAGGGAATAGTTAAGCCTCTTTCCAACATCCTTTAAGGTATGGGCCGGGCGCGGTGGCTCACGCCTGTAATCCTAGCACTCTGGGAGGCCGAGGCGGGCGGATTGTTTGAGCTCAGGAGTTCGAGATCAGCCTGAGCAAGAGTGAGACCCCGTCTCTACTACAAATAGAAAGAAATTAATCAGACAACTAAAAATATATAGAAAAAATTAGCCAGGCATGGTGGCGCATGCCTGTAATCCCAGCTACTCGGGAGGCTGAGGCAGGAGGATCGCTCGAGCCCAGGCGTTTGAGGTTGTTGTGAGCTAGGCTGACGCCACGGCACTCACTCTAGCCCGGGTAAAAGAGTGAGACTCTGTCCCCCCCCCCAAAAAAAGGTATGTTGTGACCCAGCAGAGGGTCATAGAATCAATATAGTAGGGCCTGATCAGCATTTAAAAAGAAATATTAATAAGAATAATACTTTGAGAATATCGGCATGCATTGCATACAATAAGGGTAATATTTCATGAAACTATTGTCTTAGAGGTGAGTGTATGTAGGTATGTGTGTGTTCTGGGTTGAGATATAAAATATATTCCTTATGGAGGATCACAGTCAAAAAAGTTTTCAAAGCACTGGTTTAAGATACATATTTATTCTTTCATTTTCAGTCTTTGGCAATTTGATTTCTCTCTTTGAAACTCTGCTATCTAGTGAATCAAAATTGTAGTATTAGTAACCAGAGAAGGCCCAATTCTCACTCTGTAAACATCTGGAATGCAAAGACTGTTGGCCCTATCTCATTTCTCTGAATCAATCAAATGTCCAAATATTCGAATTGAAGGGCTGAGACCTAAGTCCTCATTGAGTAAGAGGTTACATGAAGGCCGGGTGCGGTGGCTCATGCCTGTGATCCTAGCACCCTGGGAGCCCAAGGCGGGAGGATCGCTTGAGGTCAGGAGTTTGAGACTAACCTGAGCAAGAGTGAGACCCTGTCTCTACCAAAAATAGAAGAAAATTGGCTGGGTACGGTGGAGCATGCCTGTAGTCCCAGCTGCTCAGGACGCTGATGCAGGAGGATGGCTTGAGCCCAGGAATTTGAGGTTGCCGTGAGCTAGGCTGATGCTGTGGCACTATAGCCTGGGCAACAGAGGGAGCCTATCTCAAAAACAAAACAAAACAAAAACAAAAACAAAGAGGTTACAGGAAGATTTCCTTCAAAATTTATCACCTTGTCAGGGCATGGCACTATAGCCTGGGCAACAGAGCAAGACTCTGTCTCAAAAACAAAACAAAAACAAAAACAAAAAAGCAAAAAGGTTACATGAAGATTTACTTCAAAATTTACCACCTTGTCAGGGTGTGGTGGTTCATTCTCGAAAAAAAAAGTATTTATAACAAAATTTATCACCTGCACAATTCAAACACCAGTGGTTCTTTCTGACCCGCAAAGTATGATGGGTTTGGCTTGGCATTCAAGACCATTGTTGGGGTTTTTTGTTTGCTTGTTTTTTGAGACAGAGTCTCACTCTGTTGCCCCAGGTAGGATGCAGTGGCATCATCACAGCTCACTGCAACCTCAGAATCCTGGGCTCAAGTGATCCTCCTGCCTCAGCCTCCCGAGTAGCTGGGACTACAGGTTATGTGCCACCACCATGGCTGGCTAACCAAGACCATTTTTAGTATAGCTCTACCTTACCTTCCCTGATTGATTCCTCTTCTTTTCTCCTACACATCCTGTGCTTCAGTCAAATGAAATTTTTGGTGTTCCCTGAACTGTTCCTGAATGGTGTTCCATCCATTTCTCACTCTGGGTCCTTGATTGTACTGTTCCTTCTGCCTGGGACAATCTCCTCACCTAGCCCATCTCTGCTTGCTAAAGTCCCATGCATACTTCAAAGATTCATTTCTAATTTCCTTTCCTGAAGCCTAGTATCTTGTTCTTTCTTTTTTTTGTTTTTTGAGACAGAGTCTCACTCTGTTGTCCAGGCTAGAGTGCCGTGGCATCACCCTAGCTCACAGCAACCTCAAATTCCTGGGCTCAAGTGATCCTCCTGCCTCAACCTCCCAAGTAGCTGGGACTCCAGGCACGTGCCACCATGTGTGGCTAACTTTTTCTGTTTTTAGTTGCCTAGCTAATTTTTTTTTTCTGTTTTTAGTAGAGATGGGGTCTAGCTCTTGCTCAGGCTGGTCTCAAACTCCTGAGCTCAAGCAATCCTCCTGCCTTGGCCTCCCAGAGTGCTAGGATGACAGGCGTGAGCCACCTCGCTGGGCCCCTAATATCTTTTTCTTTTGAATTCCACGGATATCTTTTAAAAAATATTTTCTTAAAAATATTTTAAGCCTAGGTGGGGCTAAATCCTAGCACTCTGGGAGGGCTAGGTGGGAGGATCGTTTGAGGTCAGGAGTTTGAGACCAGCTCGTACAAAAGTGAGACCCCATTTCTACCAAAAATAGAAAAATTAGCTGGGCATAGTGGCATGCACCTGTTGTCTCGTGACTCGGGAGGCTGAGGCAGGAGGATCACCTGAGCCAAGGAGTTTGAGGTTTCTGGTGAGCTGTGATGACGCCACTGCACTCTACCCAGGCTGAGAGAGTGAGACTCAAAAAAAACCCCAAAAAACAAAACATTTAAAATCTACTTAAAAATACCATTTTCCCTGCTTCCAAGAGAAATATAAATGAACTGCAAGAATAAGAAGACGCAGAAGTCACAGAAGAAAAAAAAGGCCCCATTTTAAAATCTATGCATACACATATTTTTGTGTATTTATATATTACAACTTATATCATTTTATAATGTGCTTTTTAATTAAAAATACAACCGACATCATTACATATTTTTGTACACCATGAACAAATGGCTACAAATGAACTCTAATTTATTTAACAATCATATAACATCGGCCATTTTGCTTATTTATATGTAGGGTGCAGTATTTTGGGGGGAGTATAAATGGAGTGTTATTCAGGTATGATGACAAACTTCCTGAAAGAAAACAGAGTATATTTTTGAAACAGGAAATTGGGGCCAGATTTAATTAGGAGAAAGTAAGTTCCCCACGAATCTCTGGAGATATTGGCAAGTATACCAGGTTTCCCACATTAAGTAGTACAGGGGTTTGAGCCAATTGTACTTAAATTTTAAAGGACAGTGACCTCAGCTGGCCTACAGATGACCTTGGGGGTCAACCAGCAGCTGATCCATGGAAACATGCATGCCTCCCTACCTCAAAATATTTCTATATGCACCCTTTAAATCTTGTAGGAAGAGGTGCACCTCTTCTCTGACATTTCTCTCCCCTTTCCCCTCTTCCCATCTCCTTTTTCTTTTCTGGGATCTTGCACCATCAATTATTCTATCTCTTATCTCTCACTCTCTTCTCTCCCTCTAATGGGATAATCGGAAAAATAAAAAAAAAATCACCTCTCTCTTTTACTATCCCTTGAGCTATAGGCCTACTTTTCTCGTCCTCTCAGTGTCAAACTTCTGGAAAGAATCCTCACCCTTTACTGCCTTCATTGCTTCATCACTAACATACTCCTTACCCAAGCTGTCAACTCTGCTCAGTGCCTAGTGCACAGCAGGCCTGGGCTGAATGTTCCAGCCCTCTTGCAAACTGGCATCTCTTTCCTGGTTCTTCAGAAGGCATTTCTCCATGGCTAGCAGTGGGTGCTCGCCGCCAGTCGGCAGAGCCGAATGTCCGTGCTCCCACAGCCTGATTTTGCAGGCCCCTAATGCCACAGACCCGCTTTCCAGATACACTGGGTCCTTGGAAGGTCCTGCCCGCCCTCTGCCCGCCTCTCCGAGTCCTTACCCTGCCAGTCACGGCTTCCCCAGTAACCCCGAGAGATCTGAGAGGCACCCGTTGCCAGTCTTCAACTCTGCTTGCCGCGCGTCCCTCGGTTACCCTGAGGCAACATGTCATGTCAGAGTGCCCCACTCCTCCAGGCCTGCGTGAATATCCTTACATCCAGCAATGGCCAAACATTTAGGGCGCATCTGAGTGCCAGGCTCACACCATCCCTGCTTCCTCGCACTCAGCAGCCTTTAACCAGGCCCCACTGCGCGCCAGATCTAAGTGCAGAGGACGCGGTCCCGGTCCCGAGGCGCTGGCCGCCGGGGCAAGACAGCCGCGTAGGCAGATCCTGTCCCTCTAGCGGGCGGCCTCGGCCTCTACTGAAGGCCCCTGCCCGGAGGCGCGTCAGAGGACAAGAGGCCCAGGTCTCGAACAGAGGCCGTTGGCCCAACCGCGCGGGGTGCCTGGCGGGACCGGCGGCCGGGCAGGGGCCGGCCCGCGTCGGGGGTCCCGCACTGCGCGGCGCGCGCGCCACCGCCCCGCCCTACCCGTCGCCGCTGCCGACGCCGTCGCCGCCGGGCCTGCGCCGCGCAGCCCGCCTCGGGCGGGAGGCCGGGCCCAGGCCGGGGCAGCCCCTCAGCCGTACCGCCCTGGGCCGGTGCCCAGGTCCGAGTCGCCTTCCGCCTCCTCCCCACCCCCCGCCAGCGGCCCCAGCCAGGTCCCGCCGCCAGGCCGGCTCCCGCCCCCGCTCCGCCCCCGGAGCCGCAGCCCCGCCCGCCACCGCCGTCGCCATGTTGTGGCTCCCGCAGCCGGCGCTGGGGACGCGCGCGGACGAGCCCGGGGCCTGCAGCCGCCACCGCCGCCAGGTAAGCGCCCCCCGCGGGCCGGGGCTGCTGCCGGGGGCAGCCCAGCCCGGGCCCGCGATGAGCGGACCAGGACCGAGCCCGAGCCCGCGCCTGCGCCGCGGCCGGGCCCTGCAGCCTGGCGGACCTTGTCCGCCGCCAGAGGCGGCCGCCACTTCCCCCGACCGCCGCCTGGCGGGCCCCGGCCGCCACCCCACCCCGCCCCCGTCGCCCGGCCGCCGGCCCCTTCCGCCGCCGCGACCCGCCGCTCCCTGGCCGGCCTGGCACGCCGCTGTCCTCTCCGCGCGGGGCGGGACGGGCGGCCGCCCTCGGCGACAGCCGGCGGCCCCCCGCCCGGGCACGGATAACGGTGCCACTTTTCCCTGCTGGGACGGCCTGTCAGCCCGACTGTCCCCGCCGCCTGAAGAGCTGGCGCCGTCATGGGGCAGACACTTCGGGGAACGACCTTCTTTGGCGCCCCTCAGTCCCCACCCCCCACGCCCAAGTTCTGACCCTGGTGAAGGTTTCTCCTGGATCGTACAGGTATTCCTGCTCCAGAGTTGGGGTCCTCAAGGGGTGACCAGGCCTGTTGATCCGAGTGGAAATTGTCTCCCCGCAGGGGCTCTTCCTGCCAACCATGGAGTAAAAGGCTCAGTGTGACCTGAGGGAGGACAGGGGAGCGTCTGCTGGACAGATGGCCTCCTGGCCTTGGATCGGCGTTTGTGAGGGGGAGGGGTCCATTTGACTTTAGGTATGCCTGCTCCTGGGAAACGCAGGATTATCGGAGCTGTTTAGGGATTTTTTAACCATTTTTTTCAGTAGGCTAGAGGTGACATTAAAAGTCCTGGATTGGGATAAAGCCACAGGCCCACCCAGGAAAGCATGTTTGGCATCCAAGACTAGCATAGAATAGGACTGGCAGTGGGAGAAGGGGACTTGTGAGATAAGATGGTATTTGACCTAGGGTTTGCCCGTTTGGGTTCAGCCATGTAGGGCCTGTAGTGTGCTTCTGTCCCGTATACAGTGTGACTGAACACAGAGGATGTGGACAGATGCCTGACCTGGTAGGTGCTTGGTGGGATTTCAGGGGTCTGTTTCCTCAACCTCACAGGCACATTACACAGTGAAAGAGGAGGAAGCATGGTAGTAGTGCATCTATTTTGACTATTTCCCAAGTTTTCCCCTGGTTATGGCTTTGATTTGTTCAGTAAATTTTTACTGAGCACTTATTATGTGCCAAACACAGAGCTAGGTGTTGGGAGTACAGTGGTAAACCAGAAACACACCGTATTTTAGTTGGTGGAGCTCTTAGCTCCAATAATAAATAATTGGGAAAGTCCAATAATAAATAATCATGAACATTTATTCAACAACAAATATTTGTCAATAAATATGTGTCAGGCATTGTTCTAGATGCAGCGAACAAAGTGAGCACAAATAGCTGCCCTTGTCGGGGGGAGAAGACAATACATAAATAATAAAAATATAGTCTGTTAAAAAGTGCTAAGTGCTAAGGAGCAAAAACAGGGAAGGAGAATCTTAGGTATCGGGGTGGGGGTCGAGTTTACATTGGGGTGGCCTGGGAAGTTGTGCTAAGAAGGTGTCTTTCGAATAAAACTTTAAAGGAAGTAGTAAACTAATAATTTCAAAATGGTGGTGAATATAAGGAAAGAAAGACGAAGAGAGGGGTGAGAAATTAATTTGAGTTGGGAGCTCAGGAAAGGCTTCCCTGAGGAAGTGATGTTTAGGTCAGAGACCCGAAGGAGGGGTAAGAGTTAACCATGTGTGGAGCAGACTCTAGCTAGTTGGAGGAAGTGAAAGAGGCCTGTGGGGCTGGAGGGGGAAAGGGAGAGGGGAGATTAGTCTGTGGAGATGTGGGCCAAGTCACCAGGGCCTTGGGGGCAGAATACCTGCCCTCCTTAGTTTGGATTGTATCTCCAGTGTAATTAGGAACCTTTGAAAGGTTCAAGGGAATGACATGATGACATTTACGTTTTAAAAGGTCTCTGGCCCCCGTGCAGGGAATGGGCTTTGAGATAAGCAGTTAAGGCAAGGCTTTCTCTGTTGAGTGGCCTAACTACTTGATCTGTTTGGAAAAGCCTCAAGCATTCTGGGGGAGATCCTTTGCCTCTGTGAGTCTGCTTCACTCAACTTTTAGGAAGAGAGAGGAGAATGAATTAGCACTTATGGAATACCTGCCAGGTGGGAGAACCAATTTTAAAGACTTTTTCTTATATTCTTATATTTAACTTAATCCTCAGTACACCCTAAGAGGAAGAGTTTATCATACCCATTTGACAAGGAGACAAGCCCAGAAGGGGTAGATGACTTATCCAAAGCCACATTTGTAACATAGCCTGGATTCAAGCCCAGGTCTGCCTGATTCCAGAGCCCATTGGCTCTGGAGCCAGACCACTAAAGTTTGCATTTTACTTCTGCCACTTGCTAACCAAATGATCTTGAGTTACTTAACCTCTCTGTGCCTCAGTTTCCTTATCTTAAATGCAGATAAAGTACCTATCTCATAGAGTTGTTGTGCAGATCAAATTAAGCCATGTAAATAGTTTTGCACTTAGTTAAATGTTAGTTGCTATTATTTAAATGTTTGAAATATCTATATTGCCTCTCGGCCATATTGTGGTCATTTTGGATGAAATTTTATTTATGTATGTATGTATATATGCAGACAGGCAGGCAGAATCTTGCTCTGTCACCCTGGCTAGAGTGCAGTAGTATCTTCGTAGCTTGCTGCAACCTCAAACTCCTGGACTCAAGCGATCCTCTTGCTTCAGCCTCCCGAGGAGCTGGGACTACAGGTGTGCTGTATCACACCTGGATAATTTTTCTATTTTTAGTAGAGACAGGGTCTTGCTCTTGCTCAGGCTGGTCTCAAACTCCTGACCTCAAGCAATCCTCCCACCTCATCCTCCGAAAGTGCTAGGATTACAGGCATGAGCCACCATACCTCTTGTTTTCTCTTAATAACTTAATGCCATGTTCCATATGATCAGTCGTTCAACATAGATCTCCCGTATCACACTTGACACTGTGCTAGACCCTGCAGGATATATAGTGAGTTCCTTCCCTCCAGGAGCTCACAGTATCCTGGGGGGTCAGGTATTTTAAAGAATGAGCTACAGTGTGCTTAAATTCTCTCCATTGTGGTTAAAGAGCTGTTGGGAGCAGTAAGAACTAAATGCCTGGGTAAGTAGGGAAGGCTTCAGGGAGGAGGCGACTTTTGAACCAGGCTTTAGAGAAAGAATAGGAGTTTTACAGGCAAATAAGATTAGGCAATGGACAGTAGAGAGAGTCATAAATGTGAAAGCATGGAGACATGAGAGGCCCCATTGTCTGGGGATGAGGCTAGAAAGCTCAATTGGGGCTATGAAAGGTAGGTCAAGAAGTTTGGATTTTATTCTGTAAGCCATGGGCGAGCTACCAGAGAGTATTAGATACATCAAGTAAGTACCTCCCACGATGGGTGTTAGAGAGTGGAGATAGATGTCATCCTGGGCAGCTTTTTTTTTGGCAGGGGTGGGGGGGGGCGTGGCATAGGGATCATTGTGCTTTGGAATCTGTTTCTCAGCTTTGTAGACTGGAAATTCAGTTTTGTAGAGCACTCAGAGCTGGTTGGGTCCAGAGACTGACTCACTAATCAAACTTGGAAGAGACTGATGAATAAACTTAGCGTATTAACTGACCATGAGAAATGAAACTGCACAATGACAGATGTTTCTGTCTTCTGGCCTTTGCTCCCCCATTTCTGGCCAGGACTGGGACATACTAACAAACACTTGCTCCTCAATTCCTGTTTGTTTCTCTCAGGTTCCTTGAAAATGAACCCTTTTTATTAACATAATCTTTCCTCAAGCACTATTCAGTGTAGTCAACAATGATTAGTAATTGATAGAATGGATGATTCTGTTAGGGTCCTGTGTTTGCTAAACTCAAGGAAGAAGAAGAATAACTTAGAAATGAAATATCAGAAAAAAGTTTTCCACAGAATTAGGTTAGTGGAGAAGGTATGCAGATTCTAAGTGGTGTGGGTAATTTTGTGGCTAAGCAGTGGTTGTGGGCAGATGCATTGGAAGTTGTTCTTGGTGGGAGCAGAGGTCTGTGAACTCTGGGAGGGTGTAGGGAGTTTTTGATTGCACTTGAATGAGAGACTGGTTTAGAATCTTCATCTTCCTACACATTGGAGACAGGAAAGAAATCAAGAATTCCTGCCTTCAACTCTGTCTGGTCATGGTGAGCTTTCTCCTTGGATTGGAATCTTGATGAGGTTTGAACTTTGTCTTACACTTCTTTCTGCTTCTGCAATACTAGGAAGAGTGGTGGACCATCTAGGGCTTCCAGTCTGTATTATTCTATGGTGAAAAATAAAATCCAGATAGACTAACCTAGACTGTGGATTACTTTCCTTTTAAAACTCTAAAAATAATATAAGAAATACATATTTATGTAGAAAATTTAGGAAATACAGATAAGTGTACAAGGGAAATAATACTGATAAATCCTACAACCTAGAGTAACTGTTAACATTTTAATATTTTGGTATTTATATTAGATGTTTATCACTATCCCTATCTTTATATGTAAGTTTATTTGAACCTTTTCTTATAACAATAGAAATGTCTTGACTAGGAGAGCGTTCTGAATGTCCGTGTCTGTGAGGTAGAGCAATTGAATGTAACCCAAGTCCATGTATGTCTCCATTTGTGGACATCTGGTCCAGGGCCCTCCCCTTCGCTTGCTCTAGAGGTATAGGATGTGATATCCATTAGCTAATTACTTTTGAGAAATGTTTTTCTGAGGAGCAGAGTGCTACTTTAGCCAACCATTTGCTTTAATCTGACAACAGGGAAGTGTGTGTGTGTGTGTGTGTGTGTGTGTGTGTGTGTGTGTATGTGTGTGTTGAAATGACACATCTAATCCTTTTTATGGCTCAAAGAAAAGTTAATGAATACCTTTTGAGTTTGATGTCACCACAGAGTCATTCCTCAAAGCTATGGGCACTTATGGGC